AGCCTTAGTATAAGCATTCTGTATGACTTCAAAAATTATAGAGAAAATCTAGTGTGATTTTTGTATTTATAAATTTTGGTCCCCATATACCCTGACTTCCATCTGTCGTGTCTTTCCTTGCCCTCTCTTGTTGTTGCTTAGACTGTAAACTATTTGGAGTAGGGGCCATGTCTGTTTTCTAGTTATGGCACCTAGCACGCTTTTGAGGGCACAGTGAATAAATTTCCTTTTCTGTAAACTTGAGGAGTACTTAGAATTGGAGGACCCTTGTTTTGTCATATTGTGTAATGGAAACTTTTGTTTTTGTGCTCTTATTTTTAAGACATTTATTTATCACTTTGCTGCTAGGCCATAATGTTTTGCCCAAAGAGAAAACAATTACATCTTGAACTGATTTGGCTAGAAGAAGATTCCATGATTAGTTAGCATCAGTGCCCTATGTATTATGTGGCCAGGAAATCTATTTCTTGTCACAGAACTGTTCTGTTCTTCAAAATTTGAACTGTCATATTTTTGTGAAATATGATGATGATACCACTGAAAACATGTACAGGAAGATATACAGGAATAATCTGTACAGAAATAATGAGTAGAAGAGGCAACCAAATGCTCAAGTCTGTAGGTGACTAAAGTTGAGAATATTGGCCAGTGTTTTTATCCCACAATCCTAAACTCTGTTAGTCTGCCAAAGGCCCCAATTCCAAAACGTGGCAACTTCCATGCAAAAATATGAGGTGTATTGAAATATGATGACAGTGTAAAAGAGAATTTAGTATAAGTGAAAGTAATACAGGAAGAAATTAACAAACCTCTATTTTTAATTAAATGAAGCTGTTGCAAAATTTCCAGACTGCTGCTTCTGTGATATAAAATTTTGGTCCACCTTGCTATGGTGCACACAGGAGCTTGCCACTAGAAATGCCAACTTTTAGGGTGGCAGAGATCTTTGGTATTTGTTATTTTCTGCAGAATTTAAGCTTTTGTAAAAGATTCTAGTCTCCTGACACAAGACATGCTGCAAGGTGAGAACTGCAGAAGAATTGAAGAATGTTTTTTCATTAGAAAACATCGGAAAAAGCAGTGGTTTTGAAACTGTAGATTAATAACCATAAAAAAGTTATGTTTCAAGTTGATCTGACTGGGAGCTGGAATTGTTCATTTTTCATGATAAAAAGATGTGTGTATGGTCCGAAGAGTCAAGGGGAGAATGAGCGATAAAATAGCTTGTCGTTTTCTGTGACAAGGATAACTTCATTTAGTAAGGTCAAAGCAGTTCACAGCCAAAAAAAATCTCTAGCGGTTTCAATTTTCAGCTACTAGATTTTGAATTGTATTAATGTTTTAATTAATATTTATAGATTAAAAATCTCTGATGTTAGAAGGAAAAATGTCTTCCAACTCTTGAGCTCCCCCTGCTCTCCCCTCTGCAAATGACTGCATTTTACTATGGATATTGGGGCACTTATTTAGGGGACTAGCCTCTCTCTTGGGAAGAAACAAGTAATTTTAACCAATGGGAAAGCAGAACTTCACTTTTAACATTCCAATAGGATTTAGAATCACACATAATTCTTCATATCTTATGATACGATATATTTCTGGGTGAGTAGGTGTGTCTCAATCTGAGAGGTGAAAATGTTTTATTTTTCCCCCCAGAAAGGCACAGAGGCCACTTTATTATATCTGTTCCCTTGGGTCATATGGCTTTTGACTATCCTAAGGGTCTAAATACCTTTCTAGAAAGTGAGCTTTTTGACTTCCATGCATAAAGTCGAAGCCAAAGTGTGTAAGCTCTGAATATTCTAATCACTCCTTTCAGAGAATAAGAATTAAAGGTAGACTTTTCATCACTTTCCGAGGAGAGCTGGCTGATAACATAGTGCTGGATCTCCTTTTGTTTTACAACTGTCAAACCACATTAGAAGACAAGTACATTAAATACTTAATATTATTCTTCCACATAAGCAATTGCTGGAATTCCCACAGGGATGTTATTTAATAACTAGTAGGAGAGGTGGTAAATTACACACATGCTGAGATGTAGTCCACACCAAGAAAAAATTTGAGAACCCTTCAGTATTGCAGAACTCTTGGAAGGCCTCTAAATTCTTGCCTGTATTAATTTATTTCATGCTTGGGATCAGGTTAAAGCATGCTTTCCATATTCCGCTGTAGACTGGACTGAACTATGCTTTAACTGTGTTCATAGGCCAATGTTGCAGCATTGAAAAAGTCATGACTAGTGTAGTACAGTTTGTAGAATCTTGTGCGGATACAAAAATTTGTATCCACATCCGATCCACTTAGATTAGCTGCAGATATTAACAGATTTGCAGGACTCTACATAAGAGTTCCACATGTCACCATGCAACAGTGATGCAGAGTTGTGCCAAACCCCCAACTGTCTCTCCTTCCCCCCTGCACCCCCACTTCTCCACAGAGACCTCCTGCTGTACCTCCTTCCCTGTTCCGGGCAGGGAGGCTTCATCCTGGGCCCTTTTGTATTGGTCTCTAGTTTAGTATAATTCCTTCTGTCTAAATGAAGGAGCAGCACTTATTGGCTATAGAAGGTAGTGCACAAGTGGAAAGATGGTTATTGTGTGACCTGAGCATATACTTATTGTGACACAGACTCCTTGGCAAAAGACTCGCACCTCAGACCTCACAAACTTACTCAGCTAAACATATTTTGCGAAATATGTATCCATAAAGTATCTACAGAAAGCTCGTAACTTGTGATATTCATAACTATCATTGTTATGATTGTTATGGTGTGGGAGGGGGCAGGGGGTTCAGGGATGGGGTGAGGTGGGCTCTGGGTGGCACTTACCTGGGGGGCTTCCTGGAAGCGGTGACATTCCCCTCACTGAGCTGATAGGCGGAGGCGTGACCAGGCAGCTCTGCATGCTGCCTCCGCCTTCAGGCACTGCCCGTGCAGCTCCCATTGGCAGTGGGAGCTCCATAGGCCAATGGGAGCTTCAAAGCCAGCGCTCTGGGTAGAGGCAGCACGTAGAGCTGCCTGGCCATGCATCTGCCTAGCAGCTGAGCAAGGAGGATGTCGCCGCTTCTGGGGAGCCACCAGGTAAGCACCACTGTGCCGTGCCCCAACCCCCTCCCACACCCAAACTCCTCTGCAGGGAGTGCAGGGGCACGCTGGGCCGAGACTGCCCCAGCAGCAGCTGGGGCGCCTGGCACAGGGGTTGCCTGAGCTGCCCCTGAACCAGGCACACTGGCCGCTGCAGAAGTCACGGAGGTCACGGGAAGTCACAGAATCTGTGACCTCCATGACAAACTCGCAGCCTTATTATAACAGAGAGTAAATAAAACCGTAAACTCATCTTAACACACTAAATGGGTAGGATATGAATTAGCAAATTCTCACCTTGAGTGGTAAACAGGCTGGCAGATTCTTTAGGCACAAGTTGCCTTGGCTTTCCCAGGTTTTCATACGCTGGCTAAAAATCCCTCTAGCTTGGGACCATCACTTCCCACAGTTCAGTCTTTGTCCCTCAAGTGTTTCCAGGTGTGTTGTAGGGAAAGTGAGGTGCCATCATGATGTGATTGTCCTTCTTTTATATCTTCTTCTCAGTTACTGGAAAGCTCTTTTGCTGTGACCTGGGTCAGACAAAGTTCCCATTGTGTAGTGCTATCTCTGAGAGGTTTCTATTGTACAAAGTTCCTGGGGTAATCCTTGTGCTTGTGTATATTTTCTCAATGAGCTATTAACATTGTTTGGCCTTTTTAGCGTTGTACCTGAAAGGCTCCTTGTGGGTGTTTTTCAACCTCACAACATGTTTCAGTAACACATACACAGCCTAACTTCACATACAATGATAGCACATACAATCCAGTGAGATATTATTGTCTAGCAGATCAAGACTTTTAGAATGATACCTCACAAGGCATACTTCGTACAAAACATATCCTAATTACATGACAGTGGTGATTATTGGGGTGCCAGGGTGTCACAAGGGTTTTTTTCTCATGAGTTTGGATCCTGGTTCCTGTGAAGCCAGCCAGCTCTGCAACAGATAGAACTTTATGCGTGTCTCGGGGGGGGGAGGGGGAAGGGCTCACTTTATTAGATGGGAAAATTAGCTATTAATAAATGTAGATCCAGGTTTGCATTTTATTATTTGGTTTTGTATTATGACCATTTGTTTCCACTGCACTCTCTTGTTTCCAATTAACTCGCCATTCTTTCTTAAATAAACCCACTCTTGTTTTATTATAAGTGCTCACAAGTGCTGTGTGATTTTACAGAAGCAGTGATTTAAGGAAAAAACTGGTGTACACTACTCCTTTGTGGTAGGAGAATCTGGGATTTGTGAGTAGCCAGTGTTGGACTGGAGATCACAGAAGAACATTCCAAAGAGACTCAGGGACTGGAGTGCACCTGTTTTTAATCTGCAAGAAGACAGAGCTGGCATAGCCTGGAGGCGAGAGCATGAGTGGCTAATATCCAGCCACCATGGCCAAGGCTTCCTCTTGCTGGAGCAGGGGGTGACTCACAGTCCTGGGTTACCAGAGAACCATCACACTTCCCTTCTCCAGAAAGTCTGAGATGCATCAAAAGAGGTGTAAAGACTGTAACAGAGGAGGAAGAAGTAGAAAGTTACATGACAATAAGAGGACCCAAGGAAGAGAAGTGCACAAATGCATAACTAGAGTAGGGGTGACAGTATGTAAAGGAGGGAAGGATGTGTAATATTTAATTTTTGCATGGAAGGGAGAATTAGTAGCTGAAAGAATTGTGCAATCTGATTGTTGCTTAAATGGGATTGTTAGCCCAAATATATTCAGTGATAAAAACAACCTTTCTGAGACTTTGGAACCTCTTCTCTTTATGTAAAATAAAACGAAAACTCAAACTAAATCAAAATGGGCAATCATTATGGTATCTTTTAAGACATTACAAATATGTTAAATTTAATTTACTAAAAATTCTCCAAAATGTACAAATATTACATTAATTATTCCTGTTCTGTTTTTTATTTCAGACCAGTCTTTCCATATGGGGATGGGGAAGCCTTGGTGTTGTGCTCTTTCTAGTAACTTTTGGACCCTTTGCTATATTTTACTTTGCGTTTTATATCCTCTGCTTTGTGGGTGGGTAAGTATACTCTACTGTGGATTATAGTGTATTTTGTAAGTTTAATTTACCATTAAAAAAGAACACGAGAACTAAAACAGAGAAAAAGGGTAGAAGTACACCAATAGGAAGCTATCAAGACATGAAGCATATCCTATGTTTTCTCAGATGCTTCATGTGTTCACCGCAGAGTACATTTCTTTGATCTAGCATTTTTTCTTTGGCTAATGCAAAAAGTATCCTACTTCTCTTATTAAATAAGTGAAGAAAATAAAATTATCCTCGGCTTGCTGCTTTCTTATTTACTTTATTACAGTATTTTACATGTTAAGTAAAAATTAATCAGACAAGGTAATATTTATTTCCCTTCTTGAAAATTTCTGTACAAACTACTATGAAATAAAGAGGGAAATTGGAAATAAAACAAACAGAACTTTATTATCCACTGAATGGTGCTTATTTCAATATCTCCACCCAAGTTTGAGCAGTAACCATTTTTTTTCCTGACTCGTCATATTGATTTCTTACATTTTAGCAATAAACTGAAAATAAATAGGCATGCAATGACTGACTTTACTATCTTCAGTTGATCATTACCTTCAATTACTGTACTGATTACTTGGCCAAGAACCAGGAGATAACTGTACTTTGTCCATTTTCCTTATCAAAACCCCATTTCCCTGGTTTTTTTATGTATATGCTAGTTAACTGTTTGAATGCCAGTCTTCCTTGGCAACCACGCTTTCAGCTGCATATCCAAAGAGATGGCATGAGGGTATAATTTTGTCTGAGGAAAGAGCAGGTGATATTTTAGCTGTGTTTAGCTCCAGTATTATAGCGGCACTACAGCGTGTGAGTAATGTAATTTGTTTTTATTTCTATACTTGTATGTAAACCAAAATTATATTATTTGTTGTTAATGTATATCTTAACTACATAATACGTGTTGTGGGAGAAACCTTATCTATTGTAAACAGCCAGGCAATTCCCCCTTCCTTTTTCAATTTAAGATGTTGCATTAGTGCTATATATTTTTTGGCCTTCAGTATGTATTGAGTTTTAGTCTGTTTAGCATATTATCAACTCTAGTAATCTCTCTGCAGGATGCTATGCCAGTAGGTTATATTGAAGGTGTAGTAGCTTCCAAGAGGGTGCTTAGTGGCTAGAGTAGTTAAAAGTAGGGCACAGTATTTCTCATAACCATTTTGGAGTCTAGACTCTCTGAGAGCCCATAAGGGTCAGTTTTATGGAGTTGTACAACCTGGTTAAAACTGAATTATTCCCAGCAAACACTTCCCTAGAAGGAGTGGGATTTTAGACATGTATGGCTAGGGTATTTTTTATTGGTACTTCCAGTTGAGCGCTGATGTAAAGAAGCTAATATTTTTAAGTTTTGTTATGGGTTCACTGCTCAATGCGTCAGATGATCTGAAAAGTTCTTTGTCCAGCTATACCGAAAGAAGGACAGGAGACACTTGATATGGTTTTAATGAGGCCTCAACTCTACTATTAGATATCTGGGACAAACTGGCAGATAAAAGTGTACCTGAGGGGCTTCTGCCAGCCGCCCCTCTTTTCCATCCAGGTCCCCCAGCCAACCCATTGCTGGGATCTTACCATCCCCTCCCCCATACAAAAGTTAAGGTAGGCTATAAGGAAGGAGGGTTGGCTCCCTGACGAACCATTCATAGGAGCCCCAAATCTCCCCCCATTCCGTTCCTTTATCCAACGCCTCCTTTTGAAGTCCTTTACCAAGGCATTTATCCACTCATTGTATACCTTTCCTATGGAGTACCTGCACTGAACATTCACTCCATGCTTATATAATAAGTTGTGACATATAGCCTAACTCCCTTCATGCCTCACATCAGCAAAGCCCTCCCTGAACCTGCTGTTGGGCAGGTGAACCACTCCCCACCTCCCCCCTCAAGGCCAATCTGGTGGTGAGAGAAAAATTCCTCCCCAGCCCCCTTAAAAAGGGGTGGCTAGAGTAATGCCCACAGTAGGTTCTGGTATATTGCCACCTAAGGGGGATAGAGGGGGAGTGCTGCCTCACCTGCTCTGTGGAAAAGGGCTTCTTCCACACGGGTTTGCCTCTTTTCAACTCTTCCGGTCCAAGGGGATGAGTCAGCGTGGCTACACTGACCCATTTCCCACTCTTGCAGCAGCTTCTGACCTCTCCCCTCCCCCGCCCCCTGTAGAGCACTGTTCCCTTTCCTTTGGTCAGCTTGACAACATCCACCCCCTTAAAGGTACGATGCGGTCAATATCTTAAACCTATTGTCTTATCAATATTAAGGATGTTGATCCAATGAGTAAGAAGTACTGGCCCACAGGAAAACACAAAAGTACTGTATGGCTCCTTCACTTGAGTAATTTATCAATATTTTGAGGTAGCATGTTTTTGCTTTTGACAACTTTGTCTTTGAACGTTTGAAATCATGTATGTGCCAGCTTCCCCCTTACCACTGATAAGGTGAGCACAAAATGTGTAAACTAGTTCATTTAAAAAATCTACTTGCAGTACGTTAAGAGTTCTTTCATTTATTACCACTTCCTTATAACAATGTAGTCTAAGAAATTTCCATAAATTCTATTGGAAACTGCACTGATCTCTAGTTTGTGTTCAGTTTCAGCTCCCAGGCTGAATTGCTTGGCTTGTCAAACCTATCAGACTGAGGAACCAAAGACAACTCCTCACGTAGTCAATTTACCATCTTTGATTACTCATTATTGTAGGTAGCTTGGATGCTACATCTTGTCCATTTCACCAAGCCTCATCAATATCCGCCTTAAGCTAATTTAATTTTATGGTAATATACTCTATACCGTTATAGCAGATTTTCCAGCCATCCTCCTGTTACTTATTTATTGATGTTGGTAGATGTTAAATCTCAAGTGGAATGTTATTACTTTGAATTTAATGTGCATGAGGTTTCCTGCCTTCCTTCCTACCTATCACTACTTAGTGCTGTTAATCTTTTCAGGAGCATGATACTTGCTTAATCTAAACTGTATCAATGTGTGAGGAACAGAGCTATGTGTATGGAAAAGGTGAAGCTAGGTTGTATCTGAATTGTTCCTGTCTGCATTTTCTTCACTAATTGATCTGTCATGTTAATCTGATCCAAATTAAGTAAAATTCCAAATACTCTTCCTCTGATACAAAGGTATGTAAGTACTTGTCATGATTCATTAAAGCAAACAAAGTTTTAAGCTGATGTTTAAGGTAAATTACTTGTCTCTACTTAGCAATTAAATAATATGCTGTGTAGCATATCTACCTTCATACCAGAAAGAAACAACCCTTAATACTTTGGGAGGTCTCCCTACACCCAATTCATCTTTATCGTCCTGAACAAAACACATAGCACTCAACAGTTTTGGGTATGGATCTTTGCTTGATACCTGTATATTTATATCTGTGTGTTTTCCTATTTGGCATGCACAGTCTTACCAGTTTGTATCGTTTTTTCCTCACCAGTATTTCAAAGTCTATATATTTAAGCAGTACTATTATTTATTTTATGTATTCATGTCCCATTAATGTTGATACCAGAACAGTATCAATCTTTGTCTATTTCTTCATTGTATATGCTAGTTAAACAAAAATGCTTTGTTAAATCATATGGAAATAGTTTCCTTTTAAATGTGATAGATATACTCTATCTAACTGCACATTTTATTTTATTTTAGTATGCTGTAGTAAAGTTACAACCATTGTTCTTCAGCACATGTGTGGAATGATATTGGAACTCTTATTTTTATACGTATGCATAGCTATAAGTCTGAAGTCTAAAATCCTTTTCTGCTTGATATTTATTTTTTTTTATTTGGAGACTGATTTACAAATATTTAGGTTTTTTTTTGTAGTACATCTCTTCATCAATTCAGGATCAGGTAAGCTATCACATTAGGGAATTTGGCATTTCCAGAAGCAAGAGGCAAAATATTGGTATCATTTGTGCAAGTTATATAACATAAAACCATAGAACATCGCAGTTTCCATGAAATATTTTTTGCCTCTACTTCAAGTATTGATAACTGTTTTGACCTGTGTGCTGGACCCTAGTTCTACCACCTCCCCTTTCTTTGAACAACATGTGAACATTTTTACTCCTGGGGGAATTCTGTCGCTGCACAAACACAGAATTAATGTCCCTGCATATTCTCCTCCTTCCCCCCCCACCCCCCCAGCAGAATAATTGATTCTGACAGGCAGATAAAGGGAAGACGTGAGAGGGGTCATGCTGTAATTAAACCTTTCGCCCACCAGGGGCTGGTGTGGTGCCAGAAGAGAGAACAGCTGGCTCAGGGGCTGGAGCATCCAACTGCGGAGAGGGAGGGGGCAGAGGCTGCCTTTCTCAGATTTAGGTGAGGAGGCACAGGATATGGGGGGGAATGAACTGAGCGGGGCACACGGGGTTGCTGGGGAGTCACAGACTGGGCTTCAGAAGGGCTAGTGAAGAAATGACAGACTGGGGACGGGGCATATGAGCTAGTGACCATATTGAGCCAGCGGCTGAATGGGAGTTGGAGGTGCAGGGCCACATGGGGATAAGAGAGTGGGAGTGCAGGGCGATATGGGGATATGTGCAGAGGTGCCTGAATGGGAAAGGCAGAGGTCAGCCAGGATCTGCATGCAGGAGGCTCCCCAGCTCCCTAACAATGCCTCCTCACCCGCCCCCAAATAAAACCTGTCCCATACTTCTGCCACCCAAACCCAACAGCCCTTCTAGTTCACGCCCAGGCTCCTTCCCAGCAATTTACTTCCCTCTCATACAGTTCCTCCATTACCCCTGACTCCGTTAAGCCTTTGGACTGCTTCTGAGGGGTGCAGGAAATACATTTCTGTATTGTAGTTTATATAAATTAATACTCTATAAGTTCTATATTAATATGCCTAGTAAGGAATCTATTTGTCAAAAAACATTTCCTGAATCTTTTTTGTTGTCTGTGTTGTTACAGACATGCTTGCTGACAGGTATGTTGAAATAAATTACCAAAATAATTGAAATTGGTGTGATTATGTTGTGTTATTTTGACAAAATATGCAGAATTTTGCAGAATTTTAAAATATTGTGCACACAAATTTTAATTTTTTGGTGCAGAATTTCCCCAGGAGTAACATCTTTCATCAGTTTTTTTCCTTTGGATCCTAAGTGGTGCTAGGCAAAATGGCAGTTATTTGCTGGAATTGAATTTTAATTGTGTAGCCATAGAGAATAGGCTTTGAAGGTAACATCTTGGATTTATTTTGCTCACGTGCTTAGACCATCTGACTCTTATTTTGTGGCTGCAGGAAATATCTTCTGACCCGTTATGCCTACCTATCAATATCTTATCAGTGTGTCCCTTTTTGTTGCTGGGATCTTAAATTACAACTGTTCGCCTACGTTTTTAGATGCAGCCCAAATTGGGAATGATGCTGAAGCTGCTTTTGGTCCTTAAATAGTCTTAATTTGTTGCTATCACCTTTAGGGCTATAATTCCTTGAGAGAGAATAGTCCAGACAAATCTGGAGCTAGATGGATGAGAACTTCAGCTCCCATCACTGTTCTGTTTTAAACAGTTGCCTTTATGACAGTGTTACAACTCTCTAATACTTTTGAGTGTAAACAAACCATAGGGTCTCCCCCTTTGTATTCATCAGTGTGTCTTCTATGGTGTCAGTTAAGGAGTTGAAGCAAAAGTTACTTTTTACAGTGCATCAGTTAGTGTTCTTTTTAACTTATCAATATGAAGCAGCCACCTTTTTATATAAAAGGCTGAAATTATCACTCTGCATCTCTAGTAACACAATATGCGCACTTTTGGACACCATTTGCTGTCCCCAGCTAAGTGGGCATGTGAACCTCTACCTTTGCTGTTAAGCTTCAAACTGCTGTGGAATGGATGAGTTTGTGGTACAAATGCTCTTTCATAATCCTTATTTTCCAGTCTGTTGCCCACATGCCTCTCTCATGCTTGAAGTTTTTAACTGGGAAGCGCATTCAACTTAGTCACATAGGAGTTGTCTTATTGGATCAGGCCAGTGGTCTTCGTAGTCTGACATTTTGACTGCCACAGGCAGTTGCCAATACTTGATGCATCAGAAAAAGATAAGAACGCACATCGGTGTGCACCTAGTAGGTTTATTCAACACTTCATGTAGGTGTAAATAGACATGATTTCTTTCCAATTCTTTATCTCATTTTCCTGAAGTTTGAGATTTTAGCTATATATATGATCTTAACTTCTAGAAATGAGTGATAAGAGTATGTTTGGATGAGTAACTACAGTCTACTGCATCCTCCTTCTGGTACAGTACGTAGGGCCAAATTCTCTAAAGCAGTGCCTTAACTTCTGAGAAAAAGAAACACCAAATTTACCTGAAGATCAGTATAAAAAAATAAACAAGAGGAGTGGTTATTACCCTCTGTGTATATAGCAGCTTTCATCTGTGAGGATCTCAAAATTCCATTACAAAAGTTTATAATTATCCTTAGGTGCCTGTAAATTCAGAAATATTCAAGCAATCTATATTTGCTGCTAAAGTTTTTAAAGAAAGGCAGGCCACTGAACTGGTAGAATTCAGCGGCCAAGCACATGGAACCAGAGTTTCTTGAAGTGCTAACCCAGTTTTTGACAACAGTTTCCTCTTCTGCGGGTGCATAGAGAACACATGGTCTTCATTTCAGTTTATTCACCTAGTTCAGTTACAGGTTCATTCAAAGTTGAGTAACTGTTTGGAATAGAAAAAATAGAAAAGCTTGTTTTCCTCTTCTAATGTATGAATAAAAACTTTGTGAGAGATGATATCTACTAGTTTTAATACCTTGAAGGACATGGCGACCAGAAACAGTCAGTTCGATTTACTAAATACTTCCCTTGTTTTAATAAATCGGTTAGTTTTAAATACAAAAAATGCTTTGCATTTAACTTTTTTCTCCCTTTATGTATCCCAGTACAGTTATGGTAGTTTTAATTGATAAAACTTATGTTAAAATGCTGTATTTTTTACGTTTTAATTGAATTCCAATTTCCATCCAAATGCAGCTTGATACAATTACAAATAAAAGATTGATAAATGCATCATTCAACATTTCTATCGTAATAAAAAAAGTAAAAATTAAGGATTTGAATAAGTGTAAATCAAGCTACTATAATTGCTTAAATAAATGAGTTAATATATAGTGGATCATCTCGGTTAACAAAAAGTAATACCAATTTATACTAGCCAGTGAGAAGTCAATTTTTCTTTAGGAAAATAACTAAAGTACAATGAAAAACCAGATTAAAATCAATTATTAAATCAAGGTTTTCTACTTGCTGATTTAAATCATGATTAAAATCACTTTGATTTAAATTAATCTACCCTGCTAAAACATGTAGTATTTCTGGGTTTAAAAATTATTATTTATAATAACATAAAGTTGTTCAGAGGATATTTTTAATTATAAAATGGTATTAACACTTTTTTCAGTTTGAAAATATCATGGTAGTCATATGATCTTAGTAGCTTACTTTAATGTGTCATCTTGGATTTTCTAACAGATTTGAAACAGAGCTATAATGTATGTATTTTGTCTGTTACTTCCATGCATGGAAAACTGTTAATTTTGATTCTCTTTTCATACAGTATAACAGAGAAATTGGTTATTTTTGACATTAAAACTAGTTTATCATGCATAAAACCTTATATGCATCATCTTTAAAAAAAACTAGTTGGTTCCCTTCCTGTATAAAATGTTGCTTTAAAATTAATATCTGCAAATTTGCTTTTTGGAGAGAGGATTGATGATGGATAACTGATTAATCATGATTGGCAAAAGTTGTCTGTTTATATAGTTACCATTTCAGTTATGCTGTGAAATTTATTTTTGGGAAATTGTTTTAAGACAAATTTGGGAAGGTGCTAAGAAAGATATTTCAACTGTTAATTATGCTAATTGTCATTGACAGTGGCTGTAAAGTACAGTTCTCTGAAACTATCTCTGCGTGCAGAAAGCAAGACACTGTAGAGCTCAGGTTTTTTTTTTATTGGCCCTCAATGACTTCCATATCAAATATGCTTTCTTTGGGAGTAAAAAGATATGTTCTAACTGCCAGTGCTGCTAACTCCACCTGGGATCTATAAATCAAGCTATGTACTGCCTCCCATCCCTTGTATCATATACAATAATAAAGGTTCTGCATTGCCACATATCCATAGTTATGCTGTGCAACTGTGTTGTCCTCCATGACTTTTCACAAGTGTAACTGATTGGAACTTAGTAAATCATCATATTGATGATCTGCAAAAAGGGATAGAATCAGTCTCCATGCTTCTTAGTTGTATTGTTTCTGGAGTGCTTGCAGGAGGAAAAAAGCCTTACAGTTTTGGGATTAGAACCTGCAAATAGATCTGTTTCAGTGTACTCATGTGTTCAGACAGATCCATTTGAACTAATCAGCCCGTATTTTATTCATAAAAGTAAGCATGCCATATATGACCGGGCAGATCTGGGAGCAGATCTGTTCGATAATAGTATACTATTTTTTTTTATAGTTACATTTCAGTGTAGAGCAGCAGTTCAGGTTGTCCATATGGCCATTAAAAGCCTCCAACTAGTTTACCTGAAATTTTCAATTTGCCATTAAACCTCTGTGTGTATGACTAACATGAGCAATAAGAACTTTCTCCTTCTCATTCTCCTCCAGCTTAATTATTTTTCAAAGGCTGCTTTTTTTGATTTCACCCATTCCGAAGTGGAAAGAGAACATACAATACAGCTTTTTGGGTTTCATCCACTTCCTATCAAAAGCAGCAGTGTTTGTCTTTCTGCTATCATCCACCAGGGTTAAATAGTTGATTCGTCATAAAAAGCAATTGAATTTGTCATAATCACAACTGAAACCATTATTTTTTTCCTTGCGGTCTTCATTTTTACCAGGATGAAAATGTGCAGTAATAAAATTAGTTGCACTCCTATTCATCTGATTGTAGAAGCTCAAGAAGAGCCAAAAGTTAATTTCTGATAAAATCTCCTTTTCTGCCAACCCCTCAAAAAAGCTCTACAGTGTTCCTTTCATTGATTAAATTGTATATTTAAATAAAAAGAATAGTAATAAAACCACTTGCTTACTAAATTCATTCAACATCACCTCAGGCTTCTAACTTAGCTTTCTGTTCTTACCCAAGCTACCTGATAAGTCTACTTGTTTGACCTTACATCTTATCTTACTGCTCCTTCCTTTTTCAGCTGTCATTATACTAATATAAGTAATCAGTTCAGTGTTGCTATAGCATAATATAGTTTCTTCCTGGTAAAAGTTGTTATACCAAGAGTTCTTTTCATACATTAAATGTTTGTGTGTCCATGTCTTATGCTTTCATGTTGCGGTTTGAGTGCATTTCTAAAGAGTATAGTGCTTTGTATAATTTAAAGAAAATATATACATAATATATGTATTTATTTATAATGGCCTGACTGCCTCTAAACCTACTTCATTTTGCTAACATCCCTGTGAACATAAATAGTATGTGTAAATTTACCATCTTTAGTTCTGGTCCTGCATCAGGATCCACTAGTATAAACATCTGCCCTGTGCAGAATCCCCATGTGGAAGGGATCGACAGATCCCAGTGCTGGATAGGGGCTAAAGATTTTACCAATACAAAGTATATTGGTGACATTAAACAAGATGTTACACAGAAGTAGAGTTTTCATGGTTCTTTTTTTTTAAATTTCTCTTGAAAAATATAGAGATCTGGCATTGTATGTGGTGAACAGTCACCTTTGGCAAGCATTACACAATGTGTGTAAACTTTTGCTAGAAAATATTGCTTACCAGATGCCTTTGAATTTTTAAGTTTTAGATTGTCGTTAAACATTTAGAACATGGAAGCTGATTATTTTATTTTTTATCTTTTTTAGGGGTTTTGTGGTTACTCTCTTATTTGGAAAAACAAATTCAGAAAAGTACCTTGAACAGTGTGAACACTCATTTCTTCCTCCTACATCTGTTGGGATTTTTAAGGTAAGCAGCATAAGGAAAATTTACGAAGCATTATAACTTCAAGATCAGAATCCATAAACTTCAGACTTTCCCATGTGAGTCTTTCAATATGCTGTACTATCAAAAAAAATTGAAATGTATCAGTTTAAGTGCATATTTCCCGAGATAAACAATTCTATTCTCAGAGTTCTAGCCAGGTTTTCTTTTGCTACAAAGAAATGTACTAAATGGGCAAACTCTGCACTGGCCTCTCAAAAAAACATTTTTATGAAGTGTGTGCTACTTTAAAGAAATAGCTTATTTTGATTATATTTTTCTGGCTATAGTGTGAGAAGCAGAATAACATATATACTAAGTGGTTTCTTCCTATGTGTAATCTGTATAGTTTTTCTCTGATTAACATTTATAGTTTCCTATGTATTCATTTAATAAATGTTTGTGTCTTAGTCTGCAAAAGTGCGGAGACTGAGGCTCCTCACTCACTCACCCCAACAAAATGACCATTGCTGTTTGGAATTTTTCCATTCCTTGGATCTTCCTCTCTGCCTCTTCAGTTTGATTCCCTCTGATCAGAAGGGCATCTGTTAGTCTACTTTTCTTGCCTAACTAAGTTGAAACTCTTGTTGAAGATTAGGTATGGAAAGCTTGATAGAATGGGAGTCTGTGTTGGCCAAGTCATAGAAAGCAAACTGGTAAATGGGTTACAACTAGGGAAAACCATCTCCTCAGCTGTCATGTTTCCTGAAGCTAGTGACCTTTCTTTGCTCTATTAACAACCTGGTCTTCTGGTTGTGTGAGCCTCCTTTGAAGACTCTTCACTGGGTAGATTTTTCATTAGTTTACCTTGAAGGTAATGTAACAAATACCTCAGTCAGAACAATGGAAGAGGTATTTCATGCTCTTCAGTAGTTCTCCATATTTGATCTTCCATAGTGATAAGTGTTCCTTTACACTTGTCTTTGTTGAAAACTAAGATCCTGTCCACCTAACAAAGATAGTTCCCTTCAGAGTTTGTTCCTTAAGTGAGGAATGTTGAAGCCTGGGCCTCAAAAATGTGTTTAAATGTATCTGCAGCCTTCAGGGGACTGGATCCTCTTCCAGGTTTCAAGGAGAGACATCTAGGCTTCTGTATACATCATGGCCAGTTGAAGGCTTGTAAGGCCACAGAAGGAAGTTCATTGTCTCATGAGGTTTAGAGAGTCCATTCCATTAGAGTCAGAGCCACTTTCTGGGCTGAAGAGGGATAAGTGTCAGTGGGGAAGTCTTGCAAAACTGATACCTGTTATTCCATGCTTTTACTAGTCACTATTTTAGCGTGCAGGCACCTACACATGCTATTCTACAACGGATGAGTGCTTAGAGCAGGGCATCGGTTTATCATTCCTTTGAAGGGAGTGGGATATGGGACTAGAGGTTGCCATTTCCTTTGCCTCAGGATCTTGTCTAATTCAGCCCTCAAGCTCATGGTTTTCTATTGCAAACTGAGCCACAGAAAGCATTATATACTAACTTATCAGCCAACTTGCTTTATGTGGCTCTGGCAAGAGAGTGAAGGCTTCCACCATACCAGGCCTTCCAAGGCCAGGCTTCTGCAATAGATTCTCCTTTGTTAAGGAGGTAGAGCAGACAGATTCCCTTTGGGTCAGAAGGAATCAAACTAGAGAGAGTGTTGAGTGAGCCTAAGAGAGTGGGAGAATCCTGGGTAGTGGTTGGTTGTCATGCTGTTCATCAGAAGGAATGAGGAGGAGGAACCCCAGAGTCTTTGCTGTCTTGATTGAGAGAGAGAGAGAAAACAATTAGCTACTAAAAATGTGCCTTAAGTAAGTATTGCTATGTCACGTCTATACTTTCAAAAGTCCTTCTACTGCTCTAATACTTAGTTATTCTTTCTTTGGAGTGATTACTGACTTTTAATGTTGTAAACACACATTGCACATTCAGGTTAATTTTGTCTATTCATTACATACAGGTTAGTCAAAACTCTAGGCTCTTGTGTGTCTGTGTGTTGAGGCATGTTTTAGTTTTAAAATAGATCAGCCCGCACAACAAAGAAAGGGGAGTGTTTATGAAATCGCAGAATTTTATAGTTCCAATCTATACAACCCTAGCCATCTTCTTTCCACCCAAAATAATGTTTTCCATGCATTGCATAGGGTTTACAGCAAAAGTTGCTTTTATTCTTTCCTTTCAGAAATGTTTAGGCAGATGGCCAGCAGGGATTACTGTTTGTTTATATCTCTAAAAATAAAGAAAACGGAAAACTCTGCACATGAGTGGATTGTGATACCAGGTGTTCCCATCACTGTTACCCTCATTCTCCCTTTTCCTATTCTTTTTTTCTTTCTGGTACATGCACTTGTTCTGTTTTGTCTCTAAACCAAACTTTGTGGGGCAGGAGCTCTCTCTTAGCAGGTGTTTCTATGGTATCCAGCACAATGGGACCTCAGTCTGAATGCGGCCTCTGCATGCCACTGTAATTCAAATAATGAGAAGCAAAACAGAAAATATTGTAAATGGCCCTCATATAGTGCAAATATTAAGTATTCCTTGCCTCATAATGCTTAAAGCCATTGGTCTCATTGGTTCAGATGCCTAAACAAATCTCAGCCTATTGATTGTGTGCACTTCAAGACAGAGAAGATCCTTGGTGGCCTAAAGGCCTCCAGCCAAATTTAAACAACCTGTGTTTAGTTCTAACTCCTCAGTTTGAGACAGGGACATGGATCAGCATTCACATCACACTCCCTATCAGTGCCTGGGCTAGGGAGCTAATGATCCAAACAGTGGACCAAATTCGGTGATGAATCCTGGTTATGTGCCTGAGGCATGTTGCGCTCACACTAAGAAGAAATCTGAGATGGCTGCTTTCTCCTTGTTCCTCTCTTGACTTGTCCTTCCTCATTTCCAATGCTTCAGTGGAGACACAAGCTTATTCCATGGCTATCAAGATTGCACATTTTAAAAATAAAAAACTAGTTGTGAGGTTTTAGCAGGTCTGTGTTTTAAGGGTATAAACTTCTGTTAGCATCTTCAGAAGCTGGGTCGTTGGCCAGTTGATTGCTTATCCTCTTGTGGCAAAGTTATTTAAACCTATGGAGATATCATCTTAGCCTGAAGTACGAGCCTAGTGTTCAGAGCTCTGTGTGTGTGTCTCCTTTTTTTAGCCTCTGTTTAGTTTCCATGAGAATGTTAAACCATAAGATTTTATTTTTAGTTGCTGCTGTTGCTGAAGGACAAATCAGCAAATTAGTGACGCAGTCCACTCAGCCTCCCAACAAGGTGTTTCACTAAGATAAATTGGTTTCTGCCTAGTTCCCTTGTTTGTTTCTAAATATATTTTATCTGAACCAAGAGATTTTGAGTCTGCTGCTCCAATGATGCAGAGATGTTTAGATGTCAGACTATGAAGTTCTGTCTCAATAGAAGTTTAGAGAGATAAGGTGGGTGAGGTAAAATCTTTTATTGGACCAATACAAAAGCACAGCAAACAGTCAATAGAAGTTTTATGTTTATATTACCATAGGCTGAAAAAAAGGGAAGTTCTAAAGTTTGAGGGTGCAGAGTTGCTGTCTAATCTTCAGTGCATATACTGTATGGTATTGCGTAAGCAATACCTCTGCTTCTCTTAATCTGCCTCTGTGGGCAGATTTTTGAGAAATTCTGCCTTCTCTGATCTCACCCTCCGTTTTTTGTTTAAATTGCTACTTTGATCATTGTATGTGTACCTGACTTGTAGAGCACTTTTTCCCCCTTATAAATGACATTTCTATGACTGAAGTCTGGTCAGTCCTCACAACCTTTCCTGATGCTTTTACTACTGGTTTGTATATTGGTTGGTTGTGCATATATGTCCTCCTATAATCTGTTAGTTGATCTGTGTACTGAAATTTTGTTGTGCAAAGTTTATATGCATTTTATAGTACTCTGTTTAACAAAGACATCTTTATTTTTGACTTACAGGCTTTCCGGGGTTTGTTGTATAATAGTTCAACATTCTTTTAAGTCCTTTTCCAAATACGTTTAGTTTTGTGTGCTCAACACACCATAGAGGGTGAAGTGATTTGCACAAGGTTGCAGTTTCTAATGGTCAGGTACAAGTCCCAGGTCTTTACTTTCAGTCCTGTCTTACCCACAGACTATCCTGTCTCCTTTGACTATTATATTTCAAAGGAACCAATTTTTTCATCATATGGGCAGAGTTGAGTTTTTCTAATATCAGTCCCTCAGCTCGATTCAGTACATAGTACAAGGGGTGGGAGGGTGTGTGTGTGTGTGTGTGTGTGTGTGTGTGTGTGTGTGTGTATAATTATTA